AACTTCTGAGACGGTGACAAGTGTAAGGTGAAAATGTTGTATATTTGGAACATGCACATTAGAATGTTGGTATACTTCTGTTATTTCATGGTGGATCACTAAAATTTCTTTAGACAATACCTGCTTCTGAGAGTGAAATGAATGAATTAATGAAATATATAAATGGTATAAAATGGGTTATGGCTCTCTTTTACTGTATGCTCTGTTAATATAACCCTTATCATAGCCATCAATTGGAAGCCATACTAGAGGCTCTACTAGAGGGTATTAAATTAACAATTAAATTAACACCTAACATACACAAGGTCATTTTTTAATCCCTAACATAACTGTTGAGGAAACCTGAGAAAATTCTCTTACAAATAAAAATTCAACCCCTATGCAAAATATGAAACTAGAGTGCAACTTTAATGACCAAAGGTACCCAGATGGAATACCTGCATTGCATTCTGCTATATGAATAGTGGAGTGCAATAAAAGGAGCATATGAAGCAAGGCATCGTAATAAATCCATCTAGTATGTCTTGTGTAGCAGGGGACAGTTTTGCATATTGGCCCCTAGCAAATTTCGTAACTTAAAGGTATGGTGGGACTTTTTCAGCTATTGTGTAATTAATGTAATGATTAAAGATATGGACATATTTGTGAATTTGGTCTTTCTGGCTTGTGTTGTTCTTGAAACTGATGTCAGACATGAATACCTTGTGTAGTCATATGTGAAATACCAATTGTTGCTAGGGAGCAGAGCTAGCTATTTATAGCAGACTAGACATGTTGGTTCAAGCACAGGAGTCTGCAGTTTTATCAATAAAGCATGACAAAATTTTTGACTACATGAAATCATCATAAAGTTTTATCAATAAAGCATGATGAAATTTGACTACATGAAATCACCTTAACGGTATTATGAAATTATTATTTTATAATACCGTTAAGGTGATTTCATGTAGTCAGAAATTTTGCCGTGCTTTATTGATAAAAATTCAGACTCCTGTGATTCAAGCAAGTAGAAAATTTCACAAACTGATTGGATGACAACTATTTTGAATAGCATCAAATCATTAAGTACATAATGTTTTTCAAATGAACCCAGGGAAAAGGCTTGTCTTCACTATGAGCTCCACATGTTCTAATAAATGGCCTTCAGACATGAAAAATGCATGTATAAATTTGGGGGTGAAGGGCATCAACTTTTTCTAATTTTAATTTCCATTGACTTGTCAGATCAAGTGAATGATATTGTTTTATTATACCTATCCAAAAATATGGACCTTTTTGACCTCACTCCTGTATTTTATTTATGAATATTGATATTATGCAACATTATATTTGTGCATACAAACTGTCCTCTGCCCAGTAGGATTGATGGCTGTGATAAGGGTTACATTAGAGTATGCAGTTTGGCCTTAATTCAGATGTGCATCACTCAAAAAACTTACCACTGCTTTCACTTCCTGTACTTGAGGTAAACTGTACAAAACAAACGAAAAAACAACTCAACAAAATTGGTTACAGTTTATATGCGAATATCGGGAGTGCAACTCAGGGAGCAAGAGAACCACAGGGGTTCGTATCGTTGCTTACAATTTATCGTCATACATGTATTATATAATATTAAATTGTAAGCAAAGATACGAACCCCTGTGATACAAAGCAGACGAGAAAAAGTGGTTTTATTATTATCAGTAGTAGCAGCAGCAGTAGTAGTAGGTAAGATCAGTTTTCCTTATACCAGTATCCTGTGCCAACTTAGGCATTGCATCCCCGAGGTGTACGGCCAGACCGTGTACATGCACAAAGTTTACTTTCTACCACCACTCGGCATATTTCGGCCTTTCCCGTCAAGTCGAGATCCATGTCCCTATCGCGTATATCCCATGGGTAACGTCGTATTAATAGATAACAGTAATAATAGTTTGCATGCACTTCCTTGTTTGCATCTGTCACGATACAGACGTATATACATCATAAAGACTGTACAGACACAAACACACGACTTATTAAACAAATATTATACTTTGAGAACCAAGAAGAAAAAGTCTAATTGGTTTGATCCAACTCCACAAGATGTTTATTAATGCAGGGACCGCTGTGTTTTGGATTCTGTAAGCAGCTTCGTTCTTTGAGTTTGTGGCAGATATGCAGCAGTCGTGTGTGTGTGTGTGTGTGTGTGTGTGTGTGTGTGTGTGTGTGTGTGTGTGTGTTTGTGGTTTAATCATTGTTAGTATCTAAATATAATCCTCGGAAAAGGTAAGTGTATATTTTTGCAATGTTCTTTAGACTGATTTTTTATTTGTCATCTCGAGATATTACTACCTTCGAAAGTGTAAAATATGTACTAGGACGGAATGTCACTTGTATATAACTGTCGTTTAAAAATGCATGAAAATCCATAAAACTGGGCTTTATAAACTCCATAAAGTACTTATACTGACATCTTATGTATAAGTGGCGACAGTTACATACCAAATATTAATGAAAAGAAAAATGTATCCAGCATGAACTGATTTCCCACAAAATCACTCGCTTTGAATATTTTGTCAAATACATGGAAAAAAAAATGAATGAGAAAATGGATAAATGGATAACCTCTTGCTCTGAAACTAAATCTAAAAAAACCCAATTTCACAAATGTGTTTATAATTCATCCTCTAGTACATAAACCATGAAATCATGAATTCTTGATACTATTATAAATGAGAGAATCATGGAAATACACTATATGTCTTGTTAATTAGAAAAAAAGCCAATAAAATGGAACTATTTATTGTTACCTGATGGTATGGTACCAGATAAATGCGCACATATACCATTACTGACAAATTGGCAGTGAATTGCTGCTAGCCAAACTTAAGTAAATGCTCAAGGCTTTATTGGTATAAACTATCAGAAGATATTGAAAGTACAGGGCTTTAACAATTAATCAGTATGTAGACTTTTTAGAGATTACTCCAAATGTTGACCTGAGCTTGAAGCTGATGACTGTTGACATTTCTTTCAGACATATTTAGATGCAATGTTTGCAATAAGGCAGTATATTTTCTTTTATAAGTACACTATAATTAGCCTTTACTGAAATCTTTTATCTTCTACCATTAATCCTCTTGTGACCAATTTTTGTTTTGAATGTCTCTGTTGACAATATTATATGGCCTAATGTCCTAAACTTTGAAATATTGGCTACTAATGTTTCAGTACCAATAGGTCACTCTAGGGTTACTCTAGTTTGTACCCAAAGTCCAATATAGCATTATCATATTTACACACATATAGCTCAAAACAAATGCAAAACTGTATAGACCCATATCTGCCATCGCCCCGAGTGGTCTAAAGTGCTGTCCGTTACGGATCACCCTACAGATCACCCGCCATCTCACCTCTGTCTGCGTGTGTTCGAGTCTAGGATTTGGCGAATGTGGATATGTGAGAAAGCTTGCCAGCAGCTTCTTGTGGGTCGGTGGTTCTTTCTGGTGATTTCCGGGTTTCTTCCTCCACCATTAATACTGGCCACCATGAATAGCCTATCGTGTGCTGAAAAATGGCATTAAGCCCAACAACAACAACCATATCTGCCATCACATATATAGGTCTGTGCAATTTGTTGGGACTAATCAACAGAACAAACACACAGGGTGGCAGAGTGGTCTAAAGTGCTTGCCTTCTCATGACTTTTTTTTACCAGGTTCTTTGTCCACCAGTTATACTGTTTGCCATGTATGGGCTGAAAATGGTGTTAAGCCCATAATATTATCAGCATTTGGAGGGAGGAAATTTTGTATAACAAAATTGGCTTCCCCAACCCCTGCAAGAAAATGTTCAGTCCTGTATATAATTATTTTTTGTGACAGGAAGTAGATTTCAATCAGTTCATTTGCAATATATTTGACTTATTTGAAAGAATGTATTAATGCCTAATATGACAATGCTTCTAAGATCATTTATTGTAACGTAAAACTTTGGGAGGTAACTTTGATGGCTTAAATCACATACCCCATGACTTTTTTCCCACATGATTAGCCTAACCATGGATATCTTTTGCCCCAGATTTAAAGGATGAGGATAGTTGTTGTCCTTTCATATTAAAATTCCATGAAAAGATGACAGTTGATGGCATCTATGGTCACATGCTCCCCCTGCCCCCGCATCGGCTTGATTTCACCAGTCCTAAATGAATTGCCTTCTTTACTTAGAATGTTGTTTATTTTCTTCTCACTGGTACTTGAAAAACCATTGAGAATGGGAGTAGTTAGCTTTTGTATAAAACCAACAATGTTTACATTGCCAAGGAAACTAGGAATATTTTAAATGCATATCATGTAGTATACTACATATAGATTTTACTGCTGCTTTTTGTTCAGTACTCTTTGTGTTCTGATGGTTTATTTATTTCTTGATTTGTAATGATGGTGGGATATACCATGAATTGTAAATATTGTTCATGCTTTGAAAAATGTATCCACTGGTAATGTGCAGCAGTACCTCTATTGCCTAATTTGAAACACTACATCCTACTAATGAACTTATCCACCCTGATCTTATTGTTCTTTGTTCTTAGACAATTTCATACAGTTAGGTTTATTTTCCATGATTATAGATTATGAATTGTGGTAGTACCTGACCAGTAACCTTGATTTGTAAATGAATAATATGTAGTATTTACTTTTAGTGTTGGATAAATATTACTAGCATTATAAGTAGAAGTAAACATATTTGTTTAGGTGTGTTTAAGATATTGGTATTCCCAGTGGGTAAACCAGTTGTGTATATGTTTGATTTGGATTTTTAACATAACTTTAAAACAATTTCAGTCATATTGCTATGTCTGCACTGTGTCAGTTTATAGTGATGTCTAGACTGGGACATCATGCTGCAGACATGTAGCATCATTTCTCACCCAGTCACATTAATTCTGACACCAGACCAACCAGTCCTAAAACTAACCTCATATTGCTGAGTGCCTAGCAGACAGCTGTTAGCACCATTTGTACAAGTCTTTGGTATGTCTCAGTCCGGGTTCAAACCTGTGACCTCCTGCATCCAAGGCAGATGCTGTAACCACTAGGCATCTGGAGAGGTACCTGATGTTTACTACATTTATTTTAACTTTATTAACAAATTTTGTCTCCTTGACAACACAGAATGTTCTACAGTGGAAAATTCCATTATGTGACAGAATATTTCCAGAAGATGATAATTGTATCAGAGAGAGTTTATGATCTTCTTTACTTGACAAATTGCTGCTATAACATCAGAAGTAGAGTCATTTGTTGTTGTTGTTGTTGGGCTTAACACCATTTTTCAGCACACGATAGGCTATTTATGGTGGCCAGTATTAATGGTGGAGGAAGAAACCGGGAAATCACCAGAAAGAACCACCGACCCATGAGAAGCTACTGGCAAGCTGTCTCACATATCCACATTCCCCGAATCCTAGACTCAACCCATGCAGACAGAGGTGAGATGGCAGTGATTCGCTTTAGACCACACAGCCACTTGGGGCCCCAAGAATCATTTGTAGTGGTGTGTTCAGTTTGAATCAGTAGAATGTTTATTTGAAATATTCTCAGGAACTACAAAGTGCTCAATAAATTTTTTGATAGAAATATTCATTTGGAGTTATGGTGAATTCTGACAAGGACATTTTAATTGTGATTAGTTGGAAAATTTAGCACATCACACTTCAGGCCACTGCTACATTAATACGTTCAAGACTACAGGCATATCAATATTATCACTGCTGGATCTTATTTTGAATACCACTGGAATTCAGTTAGAATTTTATTTATTTGTAAGAACTGGTAATATAATTTTTTGGACTATTTGGATATAAGACACATTTACTGTAAGTTCTTTTTAAATTTTCACTTTGTGTTCTAAGGAAATAAATTATTTGGTGAATTTTACTAAACTTGTTGGTTTCACTCTGATTTGATTAGTTATTTTGACTGCTATTCAAGTTGATTATGAACAATTCAAATAACTTGTAGAAATCAAGCTGATAAGAAACCACATCAGTGGCGTAGAGTTAAAATGCCAATCAGGTTGGAGACCTAATATGCTGCCCATGGCTGCTTATTTTATTTGCCAGTGGTAACTCCTTAGTTGCTTGAAATGTGTTAACAACATTGTAAATATGTATGCCACAGTGTCATTGTTGTGGTAAGGTTTAACACCATTTTTTAGCACAAGATAGACTATACATGGCAGCTAGTATTAATGGTGGATGAAGAACCCTGGAAAACCCCAGGAAGAACCACACACACACAGAAGCTACTTGCAGGCCTTCTCACTTACCCAAGTTAGCTGAGTGTGGACTTAAACTCATGTAGACAGAGGTGAGATGGCAGTAATCCATAACGCTTAGCACTTTAGATCACTTGGCCACTTTGGGCCCCCAGTGTCATTGTAATATTTTAAATAAGAGATTATATAAATGTTTAAGTTTAAAATTCAAATGTATATCTAATGATCAAAAATATGTACACTTTCTGTACTTTGACAGTCCATTGTTAAACTTTCAATGCTTTCCAGTTAGTGCTGGCACCTGTCAGGGGGGGGGGAGATGTTCATATATCTGTCTGTATCACTACCAGAGAGACAGATACAAAGATTTAGCTTTGTTTGACAAATCATGTAAATAATAATAATAATAATAATAATAATAATAATAATAATAATAATAATAATACTTGTACTTGAACATTGTTGGAGCACTTCCTGCAGATTGTTCCTCTCCAAGTAGGCTTAAATCAGTTTTTTTGCCTATCATGGCGAGGGAACCAATGCACTTTCAAGGGTGCATCCTTATAGGACTCGAAATAGTACAGCTTCTGGTTTAAATACCTTAGATCCCAAAATGCAATTGTCTTATCTGCTGATCCATTTGCCAGAATAAACTCCTTATATGGATTAGGTATAACAGTACCAATTGTACAACCCCAGGTGGGCAGAGCTTAAGGTGTAGGAAACATTGCATTCAGAAATAAACAGCAAAACTAGCTGTGATTGGTACATTATGTCAGAGTTGTACTTTCTGTTAGGCTTTAAAAAAGTTGAGCCTCTTGGCAACATGTGAGATTATGTTAATTCATATCTAGATCACATTTTGTATTTAAGAATTTTTTTAAAATGTGGTAGACATGACTGAAAATGTCCATGTAACTAGCTAACTCTTACCCCTGTCATGTTCCAGTAGAGTTCTCTCTCTTAAATGCAATGGAGTACCTATTTTCTATGTTATCAAATTAACAATCTAACATTTTTCTCTGTGACAGTGTGTGACATGCATGCTGAGGTAGGATAGAAAGTATAGTTATTTCACAAAACATTAGCATTACAGTCTATGGAAAAACAATTGGTACCTTGATACCTAAAGGGAAGAACAGCCTCCCAGTGTATCCAGAGAAACACATACATGTTGGTGGCATTTATGAACTGTACTAGTTTGTTGTAGGAAAACTGATGTATGCTGAACATTTCTGGTCAAATATTGGCAATCTTTTAAGAATAAAATGTATGAAATCTTAAGAAAATAGCACAAGTTGATTTAGGATTGGATCTTTTGATGTGAAAGACATAGACTTATATTGCCTGATGGTTTTATTTTTGTGTTGTCGGCTCCAAGATTGGCAAAGATGCAATAAAGTAAGCTATCGGCTAAAACATGTATTGGTGCTGATAAAGGAATTTTCATGTTATATGCATGAAATAAAAAAATTAAACAAGATATGAACCAATTTTAAGATTGGTAAGCCTGGCATATACCTCTTACTTTCCTGAAAATTTCAAGAGATTAGTATAACCCATTGTTGAGATATGCATGGAAACAAGCTCTAAAAATGGCCATTTTTGAGCGTTATGTAGTCTCACTTGAAAAAAGCTTGAATATAAAAGAGAATTCTCTAAATATCATACTGAAATTATGCATTTATTGGTCTGGTTTTATGCGGAATTCTATCCTGCAAATATTGCTTCTTGAATTAAAGAAATCGGTAAAATATTATGGATTTTATAAGCAAAATACTGTCATTAGAAGTTTTGTTTCGAAATTGAAATTCAAACACTAATCTGTTGTTATATGCCAACATTTTGTACAAAATAACATTCATTATAACTTTTATTGACATCTAGAAATCGACTTTATATTAAAATACGTAGTAAAACCATTTAAATCACATGGCTAGCCAAGATATTCGAATGAGAGCTTGTTCTTTGTCAAACTTTCCAGTTCTAAATTTTGTAGTGTCTGTATCCGTTACAAGTTTATATGGCAATGATTTTGTTGTTTCATTATGGAAAAGTATAAATCCTACAAAGGCTCATGTGTATCCATGTGATGTCCAAGTTGGCCAAAATTGGTGGTGCTGTATTGTACCATTAAAAAACAGCAACTCAATAAAAAAAGTTAGACACTACACAAACAGGTACAAAAATGAAAGATAAAAGTATTGTTCCACTTATCATTAAAACATTGTTTTTCTCAATAGAAAGTTCCATCTTATGTGATGTAATGTTGCATCATCTATTTACCTCTGCAGCCAAGAGCAAAAAAGTGATGCAATAACTCTCTTTATTGAATATTGCATCATTCTTGCAGCACTGTCTGTTTGAGTAATTTACTACAAGACAATGTAACCTGAATTTCTTATCCTAGAAGAAGCTGCCTAATTACTTTTTCTGTTCGTTACCATGGTACATCCCTAAGACATGGGAAGACAAAAGCAAACCTTTGGGAACAACTCTGGTAAGTTTGTATTGAATTGGTAAACCACTCTCTTAAATTGTAGTGTCTGTAACCAATATCCCCTTTTTATACTGTCTATGACTTTATCCCAGTTTTTTTTTTTTTAAATGAAGCCAAATTATGTTTCCTCTTACAGTATTGATGTGTAAGGCTAAATTTTGACATATTGTCTGTCTGCAATTTGTAATATTTTGGTATATTTATAGTTTCTTTCATCTAGATTTCTGATAACAGGCAACATTTTCAGTGATTTCTTATAATATGCAATTGAAACTGAGTATTTTTGCATTCCATATCATTAGACTAGTAAATTCAAACAGAAATATGAGAATTCAATGAGCTCAGACTTAGTATTGGATACATTGCTGTCAAATGGTTACAGACAATACTAGACATTATTAAGGAAAGTGTGCAATCATTGTAAATGCTAGAACATTGAATAATCATCAGGTTTTATGCTATTTCTTTTTCAATTAGATACTTTTCTTTAAGAATCTACAGGTTATTCCAGTTTGCTTATGTATGAAAGCGTATTGCATACTCATTACAAGTATGTTTTGTAAAGTCTAAATTTCATCCTTATACATAGAGGAACAAAAATGAGAATGAAGTTGTTTGTTTTTAGGAAGCAAAGATAAGCCAGAAGAAGATGAACAGAAGATTAAAGCTAGAAGGGAGAAGACAAGGCTAAAGGTACAAGCCTGGAGAAAAAAACAGGGAAAATAAGGCGAAACATGGGGAGCTAAAAAGGGTTGATAGAGAAAGAAGAACAGATGCAAGACTAAAAAAACAGCAATCACTTTCCGATTCAAATCTTCAACAAGAATTAAGAAGGAAAAACGTGAAGAAACGAAATGATGTCGCCAGAAAAAAAGAAAAAGCAGCACTGGCATTATGGGTTAATAAGAGTATTGATTTAAGAAGTCCGAAAACTGCTGAATTAAGTAGAAAGAAGAAAGAAGCTGTGAAAAGAACCCAAGCATGGAGAATGCGTATCAAACTGAATGAAAGTATACAGCTAGAGTGTATTCAGACTGATTGTGAAATAGGAAATACTGGGTCAGCCAGAGATTCACCAATGAATAAAGTGTTACCTAAAGCAACTCTGTACTGACAATTAAAAAAGGTAAAGGAAGTATTACCAAATACCCCAAAGAGAAAAGCAGTCATCATAAGTGAATTAATTGAATCTCCATCAACATCAAAGTTTCTAAATAGGAATAAAATGATAATGACACCAGATTGCAGAAAAAAAGTTGAATTGGCAGATACTGTTATACAATCTGTGTCAGAGAGCATTTCAGAAGTGAAAACAAGGAAAGGG